GCACTCACTCATGAGATCTTTTCCAATGACGCCAGCAAAGTTGCTGGGGCAGTGGGCCCTTTTCAGGGGCCAAAAGTATGGCTCTGCAGACACTGTGAGATGGACACTGAGACTCAGTTCCACCCATTCTTTCTTGGATTCCTCCTGCTGTTCCTCACACAGAGATTGACAAGATGCCTCCTTCACATCAATACGCATTGACGTCAAGCTCCCTGCTTGGAATATCCAAATACCTGGTGCTTTCCAGTTACTGTAACAGAAAGCTCTTCACAGATCCACTGACCAGCCTACCTGCTGTCCTCTCAAAACTCTAGACCCCATTTGTCCAGGGAGTCTGGACTCCTACACCACCTCAGAGCATGCAATACATTCTTCCCTTACACTGAGAGTGCAGAAGTGGCTTCCTAATGAGCCGACAAACTAGCCCTATTCCCAGACCTACCTAGAACCACACTTGATTCATTTGTTCATTCACTCACTTATTCATTCATTCTCTTCCACTCTTCCATTTTCACTTCCCTCTCCCCCCACACCAGGATGAAAACCTGCCTTTTCAAATACCCAATGGACAGCCAGTGAGATGCCTCATCCTCACTCAAGGTCACTAGGGTCAAAGCAGAACTTCCTGGCTTCCACCCCTTCAACATACAGCTGCTCAGTGCCTCACTCTCCCTGCTCCTCACCAGCACTTCTAGGAGCAAATGCACTATTTTCAAAACCCATCCTTGGACTTATTCCCACAAATTATGACTAATGGCAATATTTAGTTTCCCAGGGCTCATGTTCAAAGCCAGAATCCCCATGACCCCAAACCTTTATTCTATAGGCACAGCAAGGATTTGGGGATTTCCGTCTTTAAAAGTCTATTCAAGTGGTTCCGATGACCTAACAGATTCTAGTGTCGCTGCGTTAAAAGCCGATAAGCCTGTAATCTAAGGACCATCTGTAACACTCATTCTCCTGGAAAAAGAGTACATGGAAATAAACTTCCCTTTGTGAGTTGGGGACTTTTGGTTTGTAAACTTCACCTACTCTTCAGAATTAAGCGAACAAAGAGAAAAATGAGAGGCCAAATAATTCACATTGACTGTTTGGCTCTTTGGCATGGTGGAATTTTATCACTCAGGTATATGGGAGTTATGAGGGAAGGGGGAGGGAATGGAGGAAGGGAGTCCCAGACTATCCTACTCTATAATATTATCAGCAGAAGGTTGAAAGCATGGAGGTCTGAGTTCTAAATTGGAGTCCACCAAGGTCAGAGATGTGTGACATTGTTAAGTTTTTCTCTCATGCAAAATCAGAATAGAGAAGGTGCTTCTCTATTCGGAGCCCTGATGACATTCAGTGCATGGTGAGTGCTTAACATCCAGAAGGATATACACAATAATGCCCCAAGATTGATCACCACGGCAAGACTCGGGAAAATGTAATGCCTCTGTTGTTAAAAATCTCCAGAGAATTACACTGCACATATCTGAAAGACCTGGATGGAAATAATTGTAATATTTGTCCAACTATCACTAAATGCTTCCCTTGATTCTAGGGAGCACAAGCAGAGAATATAGTTTCTATCTGCCAAATAACAAATCTGGTCAACTAGGGGAGCAAGTTGGTAATTACTTACCATTTAAAGGTGTTGCAATGTAATGAATGATAATTAAGGACTTAAAATGTCAAATGCTACCAGGTTAATTTTTAAGGGTGTGCAACTAACTAATGTGCAGAATTAGACACTTGCATCCCACATGAGGGAAGGGATAGAGTCTAAAAATGTCAGTTATTTTTGAGGGTCAAGAAAAAGGTTATTGGTCTGTAAATTGTATGACTAATATACTACTGGTACATCCAATTATAGGCTTATTGTGTCTCAGAAGTTGACCTAGGAATCTTTAAATATACTTTAACACCCGTTACAAACTGAAATTAGTCAAAAACTGAGAAAACAGTTTTGTTTTTGAAACAGCTAAATGTGCTATATTTATTCAGAGGCCTCCTAGAATCAGGCTGCACGTCTATAATGTGATATGCTCTGTAATTATGTAACATAAATTTTCCATTAAAATAGAAAACTCTGTGTTCCTTTGCCAAAGGATTGTACTTTGCTCACATATATTTTTAACAATTAATGTGCCTCTTCTGGCAGGAATCATCTCACTTTGAATGTTATGGGGGGAAAGCTAAACACTTGGGGCCTGAAATTTGACTTATTCTATCTAATAGAGAGAGAATATAAAAATTGACCATCACGCCATAATAAGATGGTTACGCCCACAGCAGAGGCAGGGATTCTATAATACAAGATGGCTGCACCCACAGCAGAGGCTGAGTTCCCGTAATGAGCCTTAATGAGCAATTAGCAGGAACCTAAGGCTGTGAGGTGCTGGGCAGAACAGGGGACCTCAGGCCACACCCCTCGCCCTAGCACCAGGCCGGGGGACCTCAGGCTGCGACGAGCCCTTTAAGGCTTGACAGGGGACCTCAGGCCTTGCCTCAACCAGCATCTGCGCCAGGCGGGGGGACCTGATGAGGGACCTTAGGGCCATATCCCCCTCTCAGCAAAGGTTAAAGTGGGACCTCAGGCCGCACACCATGCCTAGCAGGACTTGATGATAGACCTCAGGATGCACCCCCTGCCCTGGAACCAGGCCAGGGGACCTGAGGCCATGCCCCACACCTTGGCACTGGACCACAGGACCTGAGGCTGCATCCCCTGCCCAGCGGGGCTTGACAGAGGACCTCAGGCTGTGCCCCTGCCTAGCGGGGCTTGACAGAGGACCTCAGGCTGTGCCCCATGCCCAGTGGGGCTTGACAGGGGACCTGAGGCAGCACCTCCCACCCCAGTGCCAGGCTGAGGGACCTGCGGCTGCACCCCCCACCCCAGCGCCTGGGCCAGGGGATCTCAGGCCACAGCCCCCACCCAGTGGGGCTTCATGGGGTTGGGGCTGGCTGGGTCTGGGTTTGGATTTGGGTCTCACACGACTTTGAGGCACCATGGGTGGACAGGGACTTGACTCTGGTTCCCGTGGCGGGCCCCAGACTCTGACAGGAGGAAGATTTTCATATACATTTTACTAATTTTCTCTCATCTCTGACACCTCTATTATAGAGAAAGGGCAAATAGCAATATTAAACTATTTCCTCTAATTAATTCTCTTTTAATGTGCATGAATTTCATGCACCGGGTCACCAATGATTTAATAAAAGAGTATCTAAAGTTTATAGGAAGATAATGCTATAGTAAGACATTAAATAATTTCACCAAAACTTTATATAGTGCATGTATTCATGGACACTAAAGGTTTTTTCAAATTGAATCACCTTTTCCCCTTCCTCTCCAATTTACTTCAAGTGGATACTATCTTCTCAAGTTTGCTCCTCCTTATTCATCTTTTTTGTAGAAACCTTCCTGTGTCCTTGACCATAAGAATGCATTTAAAACTACATTTATTCCAATCTTGCTTCAAAATTATAAGGGTCATTTTAATCATGATTTCCTTGGGGGGTGGGAGGGGAAACACCTATTATTAGAACTATTCTGTTACTCGTACTTTTAAGGCATATGAAAAAAAAAGCCATCAATGTAAAAATCTCTATTTACCAAGGTAAATAAATTACACGTCCTTTTCTGAACATATTTACAACTATGGCTATGTGTAATTCCATTTTATACACAGTTGCCAGAAATTATCATATCATAATGTGCTTGGTCAGACCATGTAATGCCTTTTTTTAAATTTTACATTTTATAACTTCTCTATTCAAGGTTAACTCAGCTACTTGTTTTTCTATAATTACAAAAAGAAATCTATGTTCATTTTCGCCAGCTTCTTATATGGATTGGGCACCTAGTTAGGTGTGGGGAGGGAGAGGAGTGGGGGGAAGGGAGCTGGACAGGAGAGTCCACCAGTGGCCCAGGGTCAATCTCAGAGGCCAACTCTAAGCATCCAACTCTAACAGAGCCCTGGACAGAGTTTTATCATTTCTAGACACCTGCCATTTGAACAGGTATCAGAGGAGGAGACCATAATGTGTAGCACCTCTTCTCTGTCCTAACTGAAACTACAAAATGCCAAAGAATATTTAGAAGAAAAATTTGGCAGCATTACTGTGAATTGTACAAACAGGAACAGCATTTCATGCTTCCTATTTCCCTTATGGGACTGGACATGGATATCTGCTGCAGCTGAAACACAACAGGATCCCTCTAGGGCAAGCATGTCAGACTCAGAGGCTAACATGGGCCAAATAAATGAGACATGTGGCCCAAGGGCCACGAGTTTAACATGCTTACTCTAGGGGCCCACAGAAGAATCTGAAGTTCCTAGTACTGTCACCTTAAAGCACTATTACAATACTGAATCAACCTCCAAATACGACCAGGAAGAAACTGCAGTCCCACCCCCTTCTCCCTCCTATGGCATTCCCCAGGTCCAAGACTATGGAGCTTCTGGTGGGGTAGAGGGCCAGCCAGCAGTGATCACCCATGTGGTCCCTCAGGGAGTCATGTTCCAGGTTATCACTGGGACTGGCATTAAGTCAAAAACCTCCCTCCTCCATCTAAGATATGGGCACTCCCATATCTTAGGGGGCAAGTAGGCAGATTCCAACTCCTTCCTTGCACCACAGTCCATTGAAAATCCACTCGCCCCACCTCAGGAATGGGAAAGGCAGAATTTACATTCCTCCGTGTGCCCTCTCCTTCCCCGGTCTCTTAGCTCTCAGTCTTTCTGTCAGAAAGCATTTATCACCATGATAGCGTGGCATAGAGACAGAGTTCTGTTTCCCAACTGGGGGAGGTTTGTGCCCGTCAGGGGACATTTGGCAAGATCTGGAGATGTTTGTGATGTCTCCACTGAAGGTCGAGATGCTACTGGCATCTAGTGAGTAGATGTTGGTGCTGCTGCCTCTGTCCTACATCCCACAAAGCCAAGACAGCTACCAGAACAAAGAATGATCCGACCTGGCTGTCACCAGTGCTGAGGTTAAGATCCCTAAGATAGAGGAAAAGTTGTCATTTAAAAAATCATGCAGCTGCAACATCAAGAAAAGCCTCATGGCAAAGTGAAAATACATGAGCTCAAGAAAGTTTGCTTCTGTAGAGAACCTTGAACATTACCCGCACTGTGTTGAACGCTGGCCTGCCAAAACATGTATCTCTCCAGAAGTGAACATGACCTTATTTGGAGAACAGATCTTTTCAAATCCAATTGAGATTCTCAAGGTGAGATCATTCTAGGTTACCTAGTTGGGCCTAAATTCACTGACAAGAGTCCCTAGAAAGGCAAGGGAGATTTGAGACCCTCTGAGGCACAGGGGAGGTGAGAGGCAGACACTGGAGTTATGTACTGACCACCGCACCATTTCCCGGAAACACCAGGAGCTGGAGAATGAGGAAAGACCCTTCTAGAGCTGCTGACTTGGCGGACACCTCAGTTTCAGACACTGGAATCCAGAATGTGAGAGAATAAAAGTCTGTTGTTTTAAGCCACTAAATTTGCGGTTGTTATAGCAGCCCTAGGAAACCACACATTACCCAAAGGATAATATGTTCAGACTTAACTTTTGTCCTTTGTAATGGAAAGGACTGCCTGGTTTAAATGAGACTTCCAAATGAGTGTTTTGAGATCTGTATTTATAAGCCAAGTATGCTTCTTCTGATCTAAAACGACTCCCTTAAGCAATGGTAACATTTATTTTAAATGGAAGAAAAACACACTTGGTACATGCATCAGACTCAGCACTCCGAAGATAAACCCTTCTTCTCAGAGGGTAGACAAACTTCAGGCAGCAAAATCCCTAAGTATCAGGAGTCTCAAAATGAGTGTACACTGGCATTCAGATGTGTTTTGAAAGTTTTAAATGTGAGCACCAGACAGAAGTACAATCATTTTAACCAAGCCCTTAGGACTGTCTTCGTGACAAGTGATAAAAACTCAACTCCAACTAGTTTAAGCCAAAAAGAAAAGTTTTAAAATATTTAGTAACTGGAAAAAACATGAGGAAAAAGGCACAGACTAGCCCAGGGATTCAAAGTATGCTATAAAAATGCAAGAGTGTTGATTCTAACTAATATATAGCAAGGAGTTTTAAAACCAGATTTTAAAATTTGGCCCTTTTTTTCTTCTTCATGAATCTATTTAAAATGATCAGCTTTTGCTGAATAAGGCCTCTGTAGGGTCTTATTCTTGAGCAAATTTTCACATGGACCAAGATAGCTACAAGTAGCCTACAATTCACTTCATCCTTTGGGTTCAAAATTGAAAAGAAAAGAGCTGAGCCCTGTGTCTCTCAGTGCATATTTCTAAGTCCTTAAAAGCTACTAAGGAGCCGAAACCGGTTTGGCTCAGTGGTAGAGCATAGGTCTGCGGACTGAAAGGTCCCAGGTTCGATTCCGGTCAGGGGCATATACATTGGTTGTGGGCACATCCCCAGTAGGGGGCGTGCAAGAGGCAGCTGGTCGATGTTTCTCTCTCATCGACATTTCTAACTTTCTATTCCTCTCTCTTCCTCTCTATAAAAAAATCAATAAAATATATTTAAAAAATAAATAAATAAATAAATAAATAAATAAATAAATAAAAGCTACTAAGGAGATACCCTTGGATGAGATACTATAATTAGGCTTCCTCAGTCACTGGCCTGCCTAAAAATACAAGAAATAAATGTTATCTGTGTTAGTTTCCTGAAGCTGCTTTAATAAAACTATCATAAATTTGATGACTTAAATCAAGATAATCTTATCCGCTCATAGTTCTGGAAGCCAGCATTCAGAAATCAAAATCCTTGGAATAAAATCAAGGTGTCAGCAAAGACACACTCCCTCCCTAGGCTCCAAGGGAGAATTCTTCCTTATTTCTTCCAGTTGATGGTGGCTTCTGTATTCCTTGGTTTGTGGATACATCAACCCAATCTTCAAGACGAGTTTACCTGATCCATTTTCACATGATTTTATCCTGTGTATGTGCATGTCAAGACTCCCTTGGTCTCCATCTTGTGATGACATTTGTGACTTCATTTGGGGCTCACCCAAATCATCAAAGATAACCTCCCATCTCAAGAGTCTTAATTTCATCATATAAGGTGACATTCATAGATATCATTTGGGGGATAGGGGCTGCTAATTTCAATCTACTACACAATGCCACTGGCATTTCCTCCAGAATCACAGAGAAATTGAGTCCTGGCAGTCCTAGAAAGACAGTAAACAAGCAAGACAGTGACGAAGCCCCTTACAGGCTAAAGGAGAGCCGTTGATTGTCTAGGTACAATGAAGTCAGTACACATTAGAAAGGTCGCATAAGCCAAACTGAATCTCATACCTGCATTATCCTCATGGTGGAACTCAGAAACTGATAGTGAGGGAAAAGAGTGTTTTATTTCATGCTCATTCTCATTGTCATGTCCACTTGTGCTTGGGAACTTGGCTAACCCATGGTTGACTCACAGAGCAGATCTGCCATGATTGTCAAGATGGGTCCCATATCAGAGGCATCAACACCACATTCAGACAAACCAGTGCTTTAGGCATTCACACAGAAGCTGATGCTCTAAATTTGAGAAGTCTGAAGTTCAAATGCTAGTCTAGCAGGGAACGGGGTCAATGGTGAAAAAGAAGATATGTATCTATTCTTTCAGCATTTCTTCCCTAACTCCTATTAGCCCCAAGTGAGGAGAGAGGGACCTCCTCAACAAACTGTAATTATTACATGGCAAGAAGTTTTAAAACCAGGTTTTAAAATTTGGTCCTTTTCATCCTTCATAAATCTATTTAAATTGATTTGCTTTGCTGACACTAAAAATAATGCAGATAATTTAGGAAACTATAATAAAAAGGAAAATCCATACCACCCATCACATAGAGATGACCACTGGCAAAGTTACTTACTTCAAATACTAGATTTAACTTAATTATATAAAAAAAAAAAAAAGAAAGAGAACTTAAGGTCAAGTTGAAGGACTACTTGAAATTCATATTTTTTCTTCAGACATATGAAACCTTAAAAGTTACCTAAAAGTTATCACTAAAAATTTTTTTAAAGAATTGAACATAAGGTCATTAATGTTGTTGTTTAATTTTTAACTACATGTTTCTTTATAAGGCTACAAGTCAAGCATAAATATGTAGAATTAAAGGTTACATTTCCAGGTAGCAAAACTTAGATCAGCTATTCGAGAAGAATGATAAGAAACAAATTAAAAATAATCCTTAACAATTACTTTAAAAAGATTATTAAATCATTTACATAATATTTTGAAAAGGAACAAATGGTAAAATCTACACTTGCTCATGACTACACTAACATGACTCACAGAAGGGAGAAGATGAGTATTAATCCAGCAAAATATCCCATTCATAAGAGACAAATCACTTGTTAGGGAGAAACATAATTTTATCATGAACATATTAAAGTCCTTATGTTCCATCCAAATTTGATGCTTTTGCTTTCTTGTACTTAAAATTATCCCAAGTTTGTTTTATATTTGGAGCACCATTTTCTTGTATGATTATTCCTTATCATGTAGAATTTCTACTTCTATTTTTGATCATGTTAATCTTTATATAATTAACCACTTTCTAGTTGTTAACCTTATAAGTTGAAAAAAAATTTCCTTCGTAAAAGCATTATTTAAAACTCCTAATTTATTTTTGCATAATCTTTGATGAACCACATATATATATATATATATATATATATATATATATATATATATATAGCTTCATATTTTTATTTCCATGAATTGTTCCTGTTATTTCTTTTCCATGGCATCCTTCACGTGCGTTGTAGATATAATATCACTTTTATATTGTTTTTTTAAATTATACATGTCCTTAATTTATAAAGAAATCTATAGGACTTCATACAGAAAACTAAAGTAAGCCTTCTATGTATGGCATATATTTTGTTTGTTCAAAGTAAGAACTTTCAACTCTTTGGTCAGTTTTGGCATTTATCTCTGAATGTCTACACAATTTGGAGGTGACTGGGAGGAGTGAAAGCAGGAACTGAGCTGAGTCCGGGCTGAGGTGCAGTCTGGAGTTGAATACACTTCTGTTCCATCTCTGCTTCTAGGACATGCCGTGTAGTACTTCAATCAGGAACCTGGTAAGTATTTTGCTCCTCAGTCCTCTGTACTAGCTTAGCTCTTTAGCTCCATGACCTTTTCACCATCAGTTTAGAAAACATCTTCATGGAGAAGACTACCCATATGTTTGAAGCCCATTCAATCTTTAATTTGTGACTAGACCTTTGTATGACTGCCAAAATATCAGCTTGTTTCTCTTTCTCTGAGCAGCAGCCATCACTGGAGGCTCAGCCTCTAGCTAAACCCAAAGCAGTTTTATCTTCTCTCCCATTTCACTTGTTCTTGTGGGCTTATGACATTTAAAATTCTCCTTCTGTCCTCAAAATGTGTCAGGAAAAAGCTGAGGTAATCGGGAGTGTGTGTGTTCAATATTCCTTTTTAAAAAATTTTTTTTTACTTTTTTACAGAAAACCTACAATATATTCTGAAATTTCACTGGATATTTTAAATTTATTTAATGTCATACTATATTCATTAAAATATTCCCCTTTCAGCTGAAGTAATTAATTTTGCTTGTTATCTGGCTGCTAACACCAGGTTTTGGATTGTATGTTTCTCCTGTTCTTCTATTGTCTCAAATGTTCAAATAAAGGATGTTTTCTATCCTTAAAAAAAAGTGTTCAAATGAGGGTATATATAAGATTCCATTTCTAGTACTCATGTTTTTCTTTTTATATGACATTGTCATTTAAATGCTATGTTTTTTATATACGTAGAATTCGTATATGAATTCTCTTCACCCTCTTGAACCAGAAACTAATGGCTATACTTTAAGACTACTTTTGATTTCATTGTTCCTTTATTCAAAGAATTTAAATTTTTACAGCAAAAGACTTTGAGTGGTCTTTGGAATGCAATTATTAACACAATTTCATACCTAGTTATGCTTATTTTCTTGCTAAATAGACTACTTCTAATAGTAAACATAGTAGACAACTTGCCTGTGTACTTTCTAGAGAACATGGAAAAAATAATTGCGTATCCCCAAAAATTGAAAATGAACACTTCAAGAATTTCACTGTTCAGTCAATCCATATAAAATCATAACAGAGATAGCATCTTATTATTTTCAAGAGGCTAGTCCAAGACCAGTAGAACTAATGTAAACAAATTAAAGGCTGTGACATAATGAAGAAGGAATAATATATAAACTCTAGGTTAGCTACAAGAGAATAGCAAAAGGAGAGTTTGAAAGGCATATATTAAACAAGGGAAGTACCCATCACGGTGGTACCCACGGTTATTCTACCCAACTCCATCACAGTTAGTGAATAAATTCAGGAAGACAAATGATTTATATGTTAAAGAATCATCAAATAAAGAATTTTAGTTAATTCATTCTAGAGAATGGTAGGCCAATGTGACTCACATTTTTTCATTTGTATTTCTCCCTTGCCATTCATTTTCACTTGGTCCCTAGCTAATTAGGAGACTCAAGCCCCCAGAATACATAATCTCACCAAACAAGAAAACCATTACTTATATTTGAAACAGAGGATTTTCCTGGTACATTGGTATATCTATCAGTGTCAGCATTATGGATAAGGTGCACAAATAAAGAAAAGGAAAACAGGGCTGAGAATTCTAAGCATGCCCATCATTCAACAGTTATGTCAGGTTCTGGGGCCACTTCTGAAATAGAAGGAGAAATGCTTTTGAGATAAATGAAATCGACCCCTCCATTTATCTAGCAGCCTATGATTGTCAGACAGTGTTTGCTATTATCTTACAGAAATTTCCTGATCTGGTGTCATGAAACCAAATGATACACATGACTAAGAAAAATATTCATGCATCTTCAATTTAGTTTTTGAGGCTACAAGTGAAGCATAAATTCAGATATGGATATGTAGAAGTATTAAAAACTAAGTACAGCACAACAGAATATATTCAATAATCAAACATGTATTACTTTTTTTCTCCCCAAAGACATAAAAATGTTTCACTTATTCAGTGCTTGGGAATAGTCAGGATCTAGAACATCAGGACAAGCCTATGTAAAATATTAGTCATGCACATAATAATGGTGCTCTGGTGCTCTCCTCAACTCTCCTTACAGAATGATGCACCTTCCTCTGGTTGCTACCATTGCTGGGTGATACTGGCTCAAGGCTCTGCCCTTCTCTGGAGAATTGCTCTTAGCTGGTCAAGAGATTATGTCACCATATCCTCCAAATTCAAAAATCTTTAGCTTTTCCAAGGAAGACTATATCAAGGAAAAATTGGGTATATATGATCCCCTTGCCTAAAGGTAATCAAATGAGATTCTAGTCACACTCCAGAGTGCCCTCGGCATTAGGCAGATGCTGGACTCCAAATGAGAGCAAACCCTTGCTTCTTTCCTTTCTCTGCTGTACCCACCATTCCACACTCCCTGAGAATGTGCTCTCAACAAAACACAAACACAGGGATCCCCATTTCAGACTTGCGGAAACCTTGACCTAAAACCCAGATATTGTATTATGTTATGAATTAACAATTCTAGTCACCAAGAGCCAGTCATCAACCATTGGCCATGTGGTGGTCAATACAGATGAGTATAATAAAGGAGCATATTGGGTAGAGATTAGAGCCTTTCGCATGAACCCAACATACACAGGTGCAAAGCCTAGCTTTTCAATATATCAGCTCTGGGATCTTGGATAAATCAACTCCTCTTCTATAAAATATTGGAAATAATACCTATCCCTTAGTGCTGCTGAGAAAACAAGAATGAGATGATGCATGAGAATAGCTGAATACAGAAAAAGGGCACTGGAAATGCTGTCTGCTATTACTATTGTTGAGTCATCATTATTTTATGACAAATTAGGTCATTAAAGTTACATCAAATAAGCATACAGCCAAGTTTCCAATTATAGGGTAAGTTTCCCTTAAAGAAGAAATACAGGAGCATTTAAGCAACGACAGAAGAAAGAGTAAGTGGAAGGATGGTGCACATTAAGATTTTAATGCTGAAAGGAACCTCAGGGATAATTCCTGATTCTCCTTCTCCAAAAAGCATCATGGAGAAAATTGAGGTCTAAAGAGGTTAAGTGGTTTGTTCAAAGTATCCCCACTTTGTTATTTACAGAAATGTTAGAAGCATAAATAAATCTATTTGTGTGTAGCAGGAAATTAGAATGGCTGGGATGGCTGGGTGTGGGGAGCCTGGGAGAGAACAGGGAACAGCTACGTGCATCCCTCGGGGGGTAAGTCTTGTTTTTCCCAGTGCTGTCTAGGACAAAATGCTCATGCTTGCCATTACCTAACTGGCAGAGTTTTACGCCTGGGTACACAGATGAACTACACTTCCCAGCCCCATTTGCCTTGGCTAAGGCCATGTGACTAAGTTATGGTCAACTGAAATTTGGGCAAAAGTGAGGTGTGCCACTTCCTGGCATGGCCAATATAGATCTCCTTGGCATGGTCCTCCACACTTTCCTCCATGCTGCCCATAGAAATGTGGGCTGAAGATGGAGAACAATAAAGACCATCCTGGGCCCTTGATGACAGCATGGAAAGCACCCTGACCCAGTACACGGGACTGTCACACACGTGAGGACTAAGGTTCCTGCATGTGTGTTTAGCCACTGACAGTGCAAGGTTCTGTTATCAGCAGTTAATTCAACTTGACAAAAACTCTCTGAAATTAATAAAATCTTAGTCTATATAAAATGTACATGAGTAACTTCAATTCCTCCAGGAAGTTATGAGAAAAGGAAGGGAAATATGACTGAATAAATGGGTAGGTAAAACAGCTTTTGGCAGATATAAGAGACAAGAATCTGGGGCGAAATATTACACTCTCTCAGGTTCCCAACCTATGGGTTACACTCTAGAAGAAGTCCATGAAATTATTGCACAAGGAGTCTAAATGAACACATTGACATAACACTGTCTAAAAAAAAAGCAAAATCAGAGTTACACTGCATTATATTGAGTTCACTCGTCCATTCAGGAAACACTCATTGAAAACGTACACTGTACTAAGTACCGTAACAGGTGACAAACTTCTCCTTAAAGGGTCAAATAGTAGATATTTTAGGCTGTGTGGGTCACAGTCTCTGTTACAACCGGTCAGCCCCACTAATGTAGCAGCCACAGACAACATAGAAAGGAATGGTCTGTCTATGTTCCAATAAACTTTAACTATGATGATATCCAGTGGGCGATATACAAAGAAAAGAGTGGCTATATTCCAGTAAAAATTAATTGAGATGCAGGCTCTCATTTGCAGACCCCTCAAAGGTTTTAATAAAGATTATCTCTGCCGAAGCCGGTTTGGCTCAGTGGTAGAGCGTCAGTCTGCGGACTGAGGGGTCCCAGGTTCGATTCTGGTCAAGGGCATGTACATTGGTTGGCGCATCCCCGGTGTTGCGAGAGGCAGCTGGGTGACGTTTCTCTCTCATCGACGTTTCTGGCTCTCTATCTCTCTCCCTTCCTCTCTGTAAAAAATCAATAAAATATATATTTTTTAAAAAGATTATCTCTAAGATTCCTTCTACTTCTACACTATAATTTTAAGAATATATTTAATAAATAAAGTAGAAATTAAATAAAAATTAGAATCATGGTTTTTGAGGACTACAGGGGAGTCAAGTCTCCTCTTGTTCAATATGAATATAAAGCTTGATTTTAAAAATAAATTAATGTGATTATCTCATTTGAATCCTTATTCTAAATTATTCATTAATACATCATTCTTGAAACTATACAGATGAATTGCAACAGAGGGGAGTTATTTCATATTGTTCTGACCTATTAGAGAGAGTATTGGTATTATAAATTGATTCAATTTGTTTTAAATTTAATTTCATATTAATAAAAGAAATCAATTTAAACTCAAGGCTTCCAGCAGCTTCTTTAGAAATGGCCACTAAGGATTCATACATGTGTTTGGTTAAATATATGAAGAAATCTAAAGGGGAAAATTTTTTAAACCCAAAACGAATCTTATAAATTTAATCAAATAACAGTAACACCACCAACTGGAAGAGTTGCTTCTTCAAAACATGTGGAAGCTGAAGTTGTAATTGCTTTAACCTGGGTGTTTGAACCTTGACACCCCTCGCATGCAGAGCCAGGACATTCCTAGTTGAACACAGAGGGGCTTCCCTGTACATGACAAGGTTTTTGGCAATGTCCTCCACCCCCAGTTTTCTACCCACTAAATGCCAGTGGCAGCCTCCCCTACATGGGGTGACAACCAGATGTTTCCAATGGGTTAAATAGCTCCTAGGTGAGAAACACTGGTTTAGAAATTGAAACTCAATTCCACAAGCCCAAACATACAGGAAACAAAGGTAACACCTATGTCAACTTTCCAGAGACTTCTCTACTGATATTGACCAGGTAGAGATTTAACAGTTTTCATTTTAGAAGCCATAGAGAGGCAGGTGGCAAATTGAAACACAGATTTCCATTTTTCTGCTTACTCCTGCAGTTGTAAGTGAGAAACAGGCTGTGAATTTCTTTTCTCTCAGTAACAAAACAATATAGAAATGGATTTTGAGCTATTTCCCTGAGGAACTTTTGGAGGAGAGCGAGGTTAAATGAGCTGCCGTCCCTCTGTATTCTCAGGAGGCTGTGCAAGAGTGAATACGTGGGGCCATACAGGGTACAATCCCAGATGGGCAAATGGGAATCAATCTGGAGACCAGCTGCATTTTTATATTTCTCAAAAAGCTTTGTTCTTGCAAAATAACTACTGTGATCAAGGCAAGAAGAAAAGTGATACTGAAGAGTTGAAGCTGTTATTATGACAAGGAGGAGAGACACATAACAGTAAACTGCCACAACTTCTATCAGGATGCCTGAAAATGATTGGTTTCCAAGATGTGATGGCTCCAATTCAGCACCAGGCCAGCTGCAAGGGAATTTCCTTCATAAATGATATCACATTAATATTTTATTCCCTCCTCTTGGTTGATGAAAATCAGGTTTTATTTATTGAAATTAAAAGTGACTCTTAGATGGTACTTCACTGTTTTGATTTGCATCTCTCAGATGATTAGTGACTTTGAGCACATTTTCATATGTCTTTTGGCTCTCTGTATGTCCTCTTCCAAAGAGTGTCTATTTAGGTCCATTGCCCATTTTATGATTGGATTGTTTATCTTCCTTTCGTTAAGTTTTATGTGTTCCCTGTAAATTTTGGAGATGAAACCCTTATCAGAAATAACATTGGCAAAAATGTTCTCACATGCAGTTGGCTTTTTTGTTTTGTCGATGATTTCTTTTGCTGTGTAGAAGATTTTTATTTTGATAAAGTCCCATTTGTTTATTTTCTCCTTAGGAGCTGTATTGGTAAAGATATTGCTACAACAAATGTCTGCTATTTTGGTGTCTATAGTTTCTTCTAAGGTTTTTATGGTTTCCCATCTTACTTTTAAGTCCTTCATCTATTTTAAGTTTATTTTAGTGTATGGTGTAAGTTAGTGGTCTAGTTTAATTTTTTTTGCAAGTTATTTGTCCAATTTCCCCAATACTTTTTATTGAAGAGACTGTCTTGAATCCATTGTATGCTTTTGTCTCTTTTGTCAAATATTAATTGAGCATAATGGCTTGTGTTGGTTTCTGGGTTCTCTGTTCTGTTCCACAGGCCTATATGTCTGTTCTTGTGCCAGTACCAGGCAGTTTTGAGAACAGTGGCTTTGTAGTATAGCTTGATATCTGGTATTGTAATCCTTCCAACATTCTTCTTCTTTCTCAGATTTCTGCAGCTATTCAGGGTCCTTTTTTTATTACAGATGAATTTTTGTAGAATTTGTCTAGGTCTTTGAAGTATGCCATTGATATTTTAATAGGGACTGCATTGAATTTATTGATTGCTTTGGGTAGTATGGTCATTTTAATGATGTTGATTCTATCAATCCATGAACATAGTATATTCTTCCATTTGTTCATGTTTTCCTCTATCTCCTTTTTCAAAAATGAGGTACCATCTCACACCTGCCAGAATGGCTATCATCAACAAATCAACAAATCAACAAATGACAAATGCTGGAGAGGATGCAGAGAAAAAGGAACCCTCCTTCACTGCTGGTGGGAATGCAGATTGGTACAGCTACTGTGGAAAATAGTATGGTTGCCCTAACAGGTTTGGCTCAGTGGATAAAGCATTGGCCTGCGGACTCAAGCATCCCAGGTTCGATTCTGGTCAAGGGCATGTACCTTGATTGTGGGCATATCCCTAATAGGAGGTGTGCAGGAGGCAGCCAATCGATGTTTCTCTCTCATAGATGTTTCTGACCCTCTATCCCTATCCCTTCCTCGATGTAAAAAGTCATTAAAATATATAATTTTTTTTAAAAAAAAGTATGGTGTTTCCTCAAAAAATTAAAAATGGAACTGCCATTTGATCCAGTAATACTACTTCTAGAAATATATCCCAAGAATCAGAAAGGATATATGCACTCCCATGCTCATAGCAGCACAGCTTACAATAGCTAACTGTCCTGTGGGGTGAGAATGTGCACAGCTGTGTTTTAGGGTGCCTATTTCAGCACATATTTCTCACTGCTCTAGTATCTCGGCTGTAAAACTTCCCTTCTCTTCATTTTAGGGACAAAAATATGAAATTCACCCACACTCTGCTAATGGTAAGTTAAAAAAGATAAAGAAAGAATGAACATGTTGCTAAACATCATGGGTTTAAAGGGATGAAAACTTTCACAGACATTTGTTTTGAGTCTACCACCTGTCAGGTCACCTAACCTAGCAGCCTGCTCTAATCTAATACTGAGGAGACAGAGAAGCACAATGCCCCTCAAGCACACATTGTAAATGTCAATGGGAGGCAGTAGGCTCTAGTCAGAAGTAAGGGCTCAGAGCTCGTAAAAGGCATCCAAGGGCCATCAGCCAAAAGAGACTCAGATGGGTTACAAAAGAGGAGACAGCTAACGTGAGACTCAGACGGGCCATCTTTTCCTAGAATGAGAAGAGGGTGGGGTCAACATGTTTTCAGGACTACAAGAGCAAGTTCTTAAAGTTGGGAAGTATCCTGCAGTTTGAGACGTTTTAAGCAGCATAGAGGCAAGGTGAAAATGTCCCTTGGTGGTGCAGGTGACAGGGACAGGCAAGAACACTGCAATGCTGGGCAGAGAGGGACTAGATCAAACAAAGCTTGTCTGGCATTAAAAAAAAAGGGGGGGGGGGGGCTGTCACTGATTCTCAATTCTGATGCTCTCCAATTGCCCATTGCTTGTTCTTCCTGGACTCAGTTTGCTCATTTTCCCATTTTTAATGAAAAAGTTCTATATTTTTTTAGAGTGAAGGAAAGAGAAAAATATTAGCCTGAGATATCCAAAACAATCCAGATGCTCCCTGGCAGAAAATAACATTTTTAAAACACAACCAAAGGCATCCAAGTAATAAACTCATCTGTTACACATGATCTAGAATTGCACTGTACAACTGGGTTGCACTTAGCCAGACTGAGCCTGCAAATGTTGGATAGTCCAAATAGGAATATGCTCTGAGAGTAACACACATCAGAGTTCGAAGACTTAATAAAACAAAAAGAAAAAGGGGATATAATATCTCAATTTCTCCTAATGTCATAGGTGCATGTTGAAATGATGGTTTTGATATAATGATTTCAGTAAAATATACTATTAAAAATAATTTCCTTGCCGGAACGGGTTTGACTCAATGGTGGAGTGTAGGTCTGTGCCCGGTTTTGATTCTGGTCAGGGGCATGTACATTGGTTTCGGGCACATCCCCAGTAGGGGGTGTGCAAGAGGCAGCTGGTCCATGTTTCTCTCTCATCGACGTTTCTAGCTCTCTATCTCTCTCTTTTCCTCTCTGTAAAAAAATCAATAAATTTAAAAATTTATAATTTCCCCTACATACTTGTATGTTCAATGTGACCACCACCAGATAATCTTAAATTAGCAATGAGACTCACATGATATTTCTACTGGACAGAGTTCTTTTTAACACCAGTTCATTCCTTTCTTCATCGGTGTGCCTACTCTTTCTTTTCAGCCTTGGAAATAATCATGTGAACTAAACTAAAATATTCATAGAAATCAACAAGACAACTTTATTGGAGACATCTAAGAAAAAAAAACAGTCTGATGGGAAGAACTTCCATCTTTATCCCTCTCCACAGTAAGTAGTCAGGAGGCTATCAAGAAGCATACACAATCAAAAATGTGAAAGGAAAGTTGTGTGATATGCAACAATATTATTAAGATTGAGTGATATCTGACACCTGTTATCAGGGCTGTGTTGTCAAGGCAACCATTGAGAAAGCCCCTGTCTTCTTGCTTGGCTCTGTATCATAGATTCTCATCTCTGTCTGGGTGGTGATGCTGATGGATTTTCCATACTTCAATACAGTTCAGTTCCATCAATATTCTAGACCCGACTCCCACCACAGGCAGTCAGGATAATGGGAAGCAAGGATGGAAAAAGGAGTTTCCCTTTCTCCACAATCATATCATACATGGAATAATGGCAAGTGCATTTTCCAATGTTTGACATCTATTTTGAAATAACATCAAGAAAAAATACAAGAAAAGGGCAATAGACTCTCACACACTATTCACCCAGACTTTTAGATTTCCCCCTATTAACTTTTTTTATTTTCATTCATAGTATACATTTTGAATCAATACCCCTATTAACTTTTAATCGCATTTGTTTTATCAGTCTTTCTGCCGATTATGTGTGTATTATATATAATACATACACATTGTAATTTTTAAAATCATTGCAGAAAAGTTGCAGAAATGATATTTTTTACCCTCTACTAATCTTAGTAGGTTTTCTTTTTCAAAGAATAAGCACATTCTCCTATATAACCACATTGCAGGTATCAAAATCAATAAATCAATATTAATACATTCCTACTATCCTATCTAAAGACTTTAACATTTTGGCAGTTGTCTCAGTAGTATTCTTTATAGCACAAATATCCTTTTTTCTGTTACAAGATGTAATTTGGATCAAGTGTTTCATTTGATTATCAGGTCAATTTTTTCTCCTTTGTGATGGAATAAGTCTTCATTCTTTTCAAGCCTTTCATGACGTGGTGATTTTTGAAAAATAGAAGCAAGCATTTTGTAGAATTCTCCCCTCAGTTTCAGTTTGTGTGATGGTTCCTTATAGTGAAATTGGTTAAAAATTTTGGTAATATTATGGAAATCTTGCTGTGTCATTCTCAGTGCACTGAATCAGGTGGTTTATACTAGCTCTTTGTCCCATTACAGCGAAGGTACCTTCAACTAAGTGGTTAAGGTGAGATTGACCAGGTTTTTTACTATCAAGTCACAAGTTTTCCTTTTATAATTAATAAGTATTTTATAGGTGAATATTTTAAGAATATAGAAATATCATGGTGATCATCAAACTCTTACCCATTAACTTTAGCATTCATTTTGGCAGTTTACAGTAAGGAAGGGCAGCCCCTTCTGCCTCAGTTGGTAATTTTTTCACTTATTTTTTTATTAGCTATATTCATGGATTCATATTTTATTCAATCTGTTATAATCTGATACCATCATTATTAATTTTAGCAATCAACTTGCCTCAGAGTTCCTCCATAAATCCTGTTAAGCTGGCCCTTAGTTCCTTTTGACACACCCTACTCATTCTCTGAATACATCCTTAATTCCTAGAACAACAAAATCTTCCAGGTTTATCAGACTCTCATAACCTGGGCCCTGGAACCAGCTACTTTGATTAAAAAAAAAAAAAAAAATCTTAGTTTATTTCAGCGGAGAATGAGATTAGGAAATCAAGTCGTGTGTATTCAGTGTGTTCATCAATTCTTTCTAGACCCTCTAAACCAAGAGAGCTAATCCATGAATACGCTAGTACACATACATATCTGCCTATCCTACTTTAAAAAATATATATATATAAATATATATATATATATATATTTTTTTTTTTTTTAAGAGAGAAAGAGCGAGAGAAACATCAATGATGAGAGAATCATTGATCAGCTGCCTTCTGCATGTCCCATGCTGGGAATCAAGCACATGCCCTGTCTGTGGGAATCAGCAGTTACTTCTAGGTTTATAGGTCTATTCTCAATCACTGAGCCAAACTGGCCAGGCTGCACATCCTACTTAGACACACAATATGCCAGATAATATACTATACCATGAGGATCACAATGAGCATAATATGCAGTTCCTATCTACTGAAAAGTCTACATTTTCTAGTAAAAGATTATTTAAAAATCAGAACTTTAAAACCCTAACTGCTGACCATTCTGAGCTATTGTTAATATGTTATAATTTTATCAACCAATACATTCATTTAAAGACTAGTTATAAACTAAATTGCAGTGGAAAGACAATTCATTGGCCAGTGCAATGAAACAATTAGGATAATAATGTAATGCTTATTATCAGTTAGCATTTGTTTAAAAAGCACTGTGCCTTATCTCTTGTGCATGCTTTACTTCGTTTAATCTTGGCGGTGACAGTATGGGGGAGGGAGTGTTTTGTGGTCATTTCACAGATGACGAAACCCACCAGTGCTGGGAGTCATGGAGCTAGACCAACAAATCTATCACCTTCAAAGCCCTTGCGTTTTACCAATATTAGCTTTGCTGTGGGGCTGGCTTATTTCAGCACTGATAATTAAAGTTTCCTGCATGTCCATTAACACCAGCATCACAAAGAAAAGCAAATGATAGAAACATCTTTCCAATAACTTCATAGACCTCCATTACATGAGAGTTGCATTAAAAAATGTTGAGGAACCGTTTCCAAATTACACAGAGCCAGAATCTTGGCATGTCCACAGGGAGTTCTAGAGCCCTGTTGAAGGTGACATCTATGGCTTAACCCTCCTTCCTCCAAGGAGACCCTGGTCATCAGACATGTCTAAAAGACAGGAGGGGAACTGGGCCTTGGTGGTTCAGCTCTAACAATAAAATAAATACTCCATGCAGATGTAAGAGTCACATGTTCCTTCTTGAAACCATGAACACAGATGTAGGTAAATTGTGATTTTATGTATCATCACTTATCTACCGTATTTTTCGGACCATAACACGCTCCGGACCATAAGACGCACCAGTTTTTAGAGAAGGGAAATGAAGAAAAAAAGATTCTGAAACAAATAGTGTCCTAAAATATTTTATGTGCATTAAAACCCAACATCACAGTCATAAACACATGTAATCAACCCTGTAAAGTAAACAGCAGCATTTAGAACCATTTTAGAGCCAGGCAAGCACACAGAGACCACACAGAGCCGGGCAAGTAAAAAAACTTTTTTTAAAAAGTATATGTGTAGGCTATATTTGGACCATAAGACGCAGGGACTTTTTCCCCCCACTTCTGAGGGGAAAAAAGTGCGTCTTATGGTCCGAAAAATACGGTAATTCTTTCCTATATGTAGTTTTCAACACATATGTTCATAGTTATTTCATTATAAAGAGGAAACAATGATCTTTTTAAGATGGTTGTTTTTTTATGAGCATATGATGGCTGAAAGCATCAAACTATTATACATAACCAATGATTATTCCAAAGGAAGCAGAACAGGGCAACTCCAGACACTGAGGAAGTGTCATTTGAATTATCTATCATGTGAAGAAGAGACAGTCAGATGGTGCCCCTGAAAGGAAGAGGCGCTCACAGCGGAAGAAAGGGGCAACTGTGAATCAAAGCAGGTGGTGCCTCATATGAAGCAGGGCAGCCAGGAGCCCTGTGGCCTGACCTCCGGATGCAATGCCTCCCTGCGCGGCACTGATTAATACCTTCACACACATCTGTCTTCATGCCCTCGGACAGGGAGCTAATTGGGATGGAAAAGGCAAGCTTGAGGAAAATAAAGTGCACCTACCTGGATCAGAGACAAATCGTCGAGCTGTAACCTGAAGAGGTAGTTTCTGCAAAATATAAAAAAAGTTTTATTTTTAATAAGTCCAAAATACAACAGTTTATAAAAATCAAAAGAACAAAGAAATTTTTTAAAAATCTTCATGAATATTGGCTTCCAAAGCATCCTCCTGCTAAGAACACATGTAGCACAGTTTTCACTGGACCTCGGAGCTCAAAACGGAATTCAGTAATGCGACAACCAACATTTAAGATAGGTGAGAGCCAAAACCGGGTTCGCTCGGTAGATAGAGCATCAGCCTGTGGACTGAAAGGTCCCAGGTTCGATTCCGGTCAAGGGCATGTACCTTGGTTGCGGCCACATCCCCAGTAAGAGGTGTGCAGGAGGCAGTTGATTGATGTTTTTCTCTCTCATCGATGTTTCTAACTCTCTATCCCTCTCTCTTCCTCTCTATAAAAAATCAATAAAATAAAAAAATAAAAATATATAGGTGAGAAAGTTAAGGCACAAGGTGTGTGTGTGTGTGTGTGTGTGAAAGAGAGTGAGAGAGAGAGAGAGAGAGAGAGAGAGAGAGAGAGAGAGAGAGAGAGAGAGAGAGAAACTTAGCTAAGTCTACATTACTATTGGCTCTCTTGATCTATGTGAAAGGGACAAAAGGATATGGGCATTGGATTCTGAAACTAAAGATGATAGAAAACCATTCTTTATGAGTCTTCATTCTTACAGGTCACCTACATTCACTGGGCTTTATCATTAAAATGTGTCTAGGTTTTGAATTCACCAATGCTCTGAGTATTAGAGTGATCTGTCTTGTTAGATGGAGTTAGTGCATCATAAGTTTAGAAGCATTAACTGTGTCCAGCATCAAGGGCTTGAAAGAGTCAGCCCTATCTTCCCAAGTGTGAAACAGGAAATCAGAGAGAAGGAAACTATCAGCTTTCAACAGTGAAGAGGGAGAACAGTGAAATAAATATGCAATCGAGGCTAGCAGAGCATGAGATGGGGTTTGGGGGGAGCGGGTGGTTTGGGTCACATTAGGTTTTGCATTAGACTTTGGACCCTAGTGCTGTGGCTTTTAGAAAGAACAGATGGGCCTCTCTGTGAGATGTCTCAGCCTCTAACTCAAATCATGGAGAAACTGCACGCAGATGAGAAGCTGGAGTGCAGGAGCGGCACTCAGGGGATGCGTAGAGGAGAAAGTCTGCCCAGGTGCAGACAATAAAGCCGGGAGAATTTGGCATATACTGTAGTAAAGAATGCAGGGTGGTGGGGAGGAGTCCCAGTGAAACTGAGGTTAAGTTATAATGGGTTAGTCCAAGATTATATATATTTAAAAAATAACCAAATTTTCCCAACACCACTAAGAAAGAATTGTAGATTACTTTAACTATCTGGGGAGATGAGTAGATGTCAGAAGCAGAAATGATGTCCCAGTAGAAATAGAAGGGACAGCTAGGCCAAAGGCAAAGCCTACGGTGTGGCTAGAGATGGGGAGGACAATTCAGTAGGGAGCTGACATCCAATGGCATGAGTGCACACACTGCTTGAGGAAGGAACAGGACTAAGACCCCTTTCAGGGGGGTCTCATGCATCCCAGGGATCGGCCCCCGGGCACTCAGATATCTCACAATTTGTCCCCCGCCATGGGGACACTGCCTTCCTGCACTCAGTGAAAACTGTCTCCTCCAACCACTACAAAGGCCTCTTTGCCACCTTCTTTGTGTCCCTCCAACTTAACCTCTGAAAATAACCCTGGGCACATGCCCCAAAGCCATCTGGGAAAAACGTCTCCTCACTTGCTTACCGTTGACTCCTACCCCACTATGAAGAACAGATTATTGCATCAGAGCCTGCCTATTTATTTATTTATTTAATATCTATTTATTTATTTTTATTGTTTTCAGAGAGGGAGAGAGGCAGAGAGAAACATCAATGATGAGAGAGAATCATTGATCGGCTGCCTCCTGCATGCTCCAACTGGGGACAGAGCCCACAAACCGAACATGGGCCCCTGATGGGAGTAGAACCTGGGACCCTGCAGTCCACAGGCCAGCGCTCTATCTGCTGAGCCAAACCAGCTAGGGAAAGAGTCTGTTTTTATTTAGCCAGGCACCATGCAGAGGCAAGGCTTCCAACAGAAACACCTCCCTGTGGGGGAAGGATGATGAACTCAGTGCGCACGTGGAAGACTGCAGACCAGCTGCCCGGTGGGCACCCCTGGAGGCCAGCTTGCATTTGCAGAGCTGCCAAGATCTCACTGATGGGAAATAAGAGACCAGCGGGACTTCTGTAAGAAACATTAGAAATCTATACACAGGGAGAGAAAAGTCTCTCAGGTGCTGAGTATACAAGTGGCACCAGACGCAATCACCGGCCATCAGGGAGTGCCAGGGCACCTGACCCTGACCCCCAGGCTGGTGTTCTAAGTGGCTTCCTGAATACAGGAAGCAGACAGTGGTCATTGTCCCTCTGTTACAGAGACAGCATTACCTAGCGATTGAGAATATTTGTGTAAAAGCCAAAGCTCTATCACCATCCAACCTGAGGAAGAAAGCTGTCGCACTGTGTAGCTCAGTCTTCTCATCTGAAGAATGGAGCTAATATTCAAAGCTGCCCCCTGGGGTGGTTGTGAGGTTTAAATCCAATGAAAACACTTAGAATGGCTTCTGACACATTGTATAAATGCAATTAATATAGTTACTGCTAGAGTTTTATAAGTATATCAAAATTTCCAGGCACAATGAAATTAGCATATTCTCCATGGCTGGATTTTTCAAGGGGAAAAAAAAGACAACACTGTTTATCTTATCTCGGTTCTGGGACCCAGTCATCACACTCTTTCCAACTCATTGTCTCTGTTAATATTCCCTGTAAAAGAAACTATTCATATTCTCAGTCAATGAATTACCTGAGGGCTTTGATGATATTACAAGGCTATTCACCGTGTTTTCTCTCTCTCTCTCTCTCTCTCTCTCTCTCTCTCTCTCTCTCTCTCTCTCTCTCTCTCTCTCTCTCTCTTACACACACACACACACACACACACACACACACACACATACATGTCCACATTATAATATCTATTACTGGAAACTTTTTAGAAAGACAGCTCTCATACCCAAAGGAAGAGCAAAAAGTCTCTTAATGCCATTGAAGAAAGAGGATGGTAGTGTCCCTGATGTTCTGCAGAGCTCTGGGCAGGCCAGCTGGAGAGAAGCATTAAAGTCTTCTCTACTTGGAGAGAGGATTGGAGGAGAAGGTATAGAGATTATTCTCTGAAACCCCTGGGTGCAGTTCTCAGATGTTTTCCATAAAAGCTCTACTTAATATTTGAGTCTTCCCAAAATTCATGTTAAAAATCCTAACCCCCAAAGGTGATAGTATTACCTTTAGGATAGTAGGGCCTTTGAGAGGTGCATTATTACCCCCATAAAAGAGGCTCCAAAGATATCCCAAGCCCTGTCCACCATGTGAGGACTCAATGCTAGCCATCTGCCAGCCAGAAGCAGGCCCTCACCAGAGCCCCCCATGCTGCTACCCTGTTCTGGGACTTCCAGCCTCCAGTTGTATGAGAAGTGAATTTCTGTTGTTTATAAGCTACCTGATCTGTGGTATTTTGTTACAGTAGCTCGAGTGGACTACGACAGGAAGACACTGATTTATGATGACAATCATGCCACAGCTTAGTCTACAGCTCCAAACCTAACTCTGCTGACTATACTCTTTCTGCCCCTCAGGTCCCCACTGTCTAGAAAAGTACCACCCTCCACTGCCAGCCTTTACCAGGACTTTAACTATTTACTCTGCATTCACTAAAAACTGCTGGGAACTATGGTGCTCTCACAACCATCTCATCTGTAATAAATCAGAGGCATTTAATAGGTGAATGGAAGGGGCAGAGAGGAGGATTGTGCTTATTAGGAAAAGCATCAAAGTAATAATGAGATACTATCACTGCCAGCAACACCTCCACCACCATCTTAATGAAGAAAAGCACCAAGATTTGAACTTTTTCTTTGATATCTTCTGGATTATAAGATGCAAATTGTTAATTTTAACACTTCCTCAATTATTTTTTAACCTAATAAAAACCATAGACTCCAAGAATTCCAGAGCTGAGTTGTCATTAGAGAGAATATACCCTCCATTTGTAGATGGCGAAACTTATTCAAATTAAGATGTGCAGTATGATTTATCCAAGATTATTAGGACTCGGGGAAAATCCTAGGGTTAGAGGTAAGACACACACCCCAGTGTCCCTTGTCCCATTGTGCTATGTGGCCTCACTGGTCATCCAATGTCCCCTTCCTAATTTCACTGGCACTAAACACACACACAAACAGAGAGAGAGAGAGAGAGAGAGAGAGAGAGAGAGAGAGAGAGAGAGAGAGAGAGAGAGAGAAATAGTTCTTATAGTACAATTATCTCATACCTTCATTGTTCAGTCACCTATACATTTACAACTAATTTTGAGATGATTCAAGGCTTAGCACTGCTTGCTAATGACAAGCTTTTGATTCTCCAGGTCATTGAATCTCACCTCTGGGGCTGTGATCTCACTGTGACATATGTGTCTGCTCATTAAGAGAATGTAAATCCTGCTGGTCTGGTTGACTAGATGGTGCTTCCTGTCGTCCTCCTATTTCTCATAAATTCTCCCTGACACTGCCTACACATGCTTATTTAAAGAATGCCCAAGTTTCTTCATTTATGAAATGAAAGACTATGCAATAGTTAAATAACACAAATTCCTACAAGCCCATGACCATTTTTAGATGTGTGAAATGACCAATAGAGTTGGATGACCATATGGCCATCCAAGGAAAGACTTCAAAAGATTTATCATGGTATGTTTTGATAAATTCCTGGGAAATGCTTTTCAAGTGTTTTTATCATCTGCAAATGAGGACTGTATTTCAACATAATCTTAAATAAAACCTCAGCATATAAATATGAAAGATAATTCTTTACTAGTAAAAATATATTCGATGAGTAGTTACCTTTAACATTTGTTAATCATAAAGTCAGTTAATTACACTGCCTGGAAAATTTTGAAAGTGGAATTAATAGATAAGTAAGCTTGCAGAGCCTCAACATGTATTTAACGTCTATTTTTATGTCGGTAGGGTTGGTTACATTTTTGTCGCTCTTTTGTTATTTGTTTCATTTTGGTAGATGTTTTCAAATACTTGCTTAATACATGACTGTGGTCTACATAAATCCCAAGGAAGCAATTTAATGCCTTGCTGGACCTTTCCATATTAGAAATATGTAATATTACACATTTCAGTATTCACTTTATCCATCATAATTTTCAGTGATTTTTTAAAAAATATTCTAAAAAATGAAATAAAAGTGAAACATTTGTGGAATTCCCTACTCTCGCTGGAATCTAAGAAT